ACACATTGCTAATTTTAGCAGTTCTTAATGTGTCAAGCTCAAACTTACTTTGGAAGAAGTTATTAATTTCTATTTTGATGATTCCAGACAACAACTGTTTAACATATGAATTTGTAACTCACGATTCAAACTCGAATTAACTGCTTGTTCTCTGGTGTCAATACTCAGCAAGTGAAATAGCAACGTCTTTGATTTTTATATAGTCTTAGGTAATGCTGTCGGATTTTATACACAGTTAGTGGATTTTGTGGATAGCAAAGCAGTTCATGTACTTATTGCAACAAAACTTTCTTGAACATTGTAAACAAGTACAAATTACTGTAATTGGGAATGAAAATAATGCACTGAACTCATCAGCCAGTAGCAAAAAAATGAATTGTAAAACAAACTAAAAGATGCGCAGGATCGTTTTATGACCACAGTAGCTAATGAAACATCAAGGAGAAAATTGCCGGTGGCAGAGAAAAATGCCGTACATGTCTTCTAATTATACATAAAAGGCCAGATAATGATGGAAAACTCGGCTATGAGTAAAAAAGGAATAAACAAGCGCCTAGTTTTCTAGGAATCAGACATCATAAAGTGCATGGGGTCATAAAATTACCCAAGCATCCTCCTTTGACTACCCTCTATGAAAATTTCTAGGTACACCCCTGCCTATTTGAATATTTTCAACATTACAGAAATTTTACTGGTCTTTGGCAAAAAATACAATACGCAGGCATATACAAAAAACTTTTTTTTTGTATCAATTAATAATTTAAAATTTTTGGTTTAAATTGAGTTCAGTAAAAAACCCAAAAAGTTGGAAATAGAAATCCAAAGATTTTAAGTGTATAACACATTTTAAATAATTGAAAAAAAAAAAAAAACCCAACTGAAATTTGAGCAAGAAAAATAAATGTTGGAAGAAAATTATAAAACGAGTCAAAAACTTATTGATGAGAATTTTTTTTAAATACAATTATTAGTCTTTATGTTTGATTTTAAAGTTGTGAGTATGAATCCCGATGTGTGATTTTTAATTATGTGAATACGAATTCTAATCTCATGAATACAAATCCCTTTGGAAGATAAATCAAGTGAACGAATCGTGATTTATAATCTAAAATCATCTGAATACAGATGACGATGTGTAATTTTAAATAGAGGAAATATGAATCTGATGTGTGGTTTTAAAAAGTGTAACTGTAATTTTAAATTGCGTTTACATAGATAGGAAAAAAGGTAAAAAAAAAAAAAAACAGATATTTTTTCCGGAAACTCGGAAAAGTGGAACATTTTTTGAAAAGGCGGTATCTTTCTTTTTATGAAATTAAAAAAATCGAAATTCCGTCAAAAAGTGGACAAAAACTCATCTCTGAGGTTAGAACTTGGGCCTATTGCGAGAAAGACCCCATAACATTTCAAACTATGTTAAAATATTTGCCTAAAAACACTATGACTAAAAAAAAAATGCAGATTTGTAAGTTTGAGTTTGAATAAAGTCGAAACAACTTGAAGAAACATAAATAATGCCACCTCAAATAAATGTGATTGATTCATTACTATAATAAAGTACTTCCTTTAATGCACTCAAAATCTGTAATAAATCAGTGTATTGACATTGAAGAAGTCGCTTTCATATAATTCAAAACAACCGTTGATATGAACCGTAGTATGACGCTGCATACAAATAAGGTTAAAACTTTTTCACATTGTTTTAACCTTATTTGTATGTAGCACAAAGTTTACTATTCTTTATTTGAAATGAAAGCTTCAAAAAAAAAAAAAAAATATTACCATAGCTGCAAACTTTTCTATATTTTGCAGAAGCCTTCAGCTTTTACGTTCATCTTCTGCACAGAGATCAACTATGCTGCATGTTGAAAATCTACATTAAAACTGTACTTTCTGAATTACTTATATACACTTACGTGTGTGTAAACTATTCTGCTTTGTTCAAAGAAAGAAATCTTGAATTTTCCTAATTGATCTTTAGGTTATACAATTAGGGGTGCACAACCTGCGGGCCAAATGCGGCCCTTCGACTACTGAAGTACGACCCGCGAAAGCTTCTAAACACAATAAAAAAATTTAAAAAAATGGCAATTTTTAATCGCACTTTTAAGTCATCACGTTTTGACACAATCAATTTTAACAAATTCTTTAGTAAATGTACGTTTAACGCGCTTTCTTTAAGCCGATTTTATAGTAAATATAAATGATTTTTTTTAAACAGTTATTTCCGCTTTTCTACGTGATTTCGAAAAAAAAAAATTTTATTTAAAAAAAAAATAAATTATTTTTTATAATGTATTATAAAAAATTCCAATTATTCTATTACGACATTCTATTACCCAATTATTTCTATACTTTTCCACATGATTTTGACTATCCCGTTATTTAACTATGATGTTATTACGACACGTGGTTTTTAATCGCGCAATTAAATAATCACTTTTTGCCTAGTTATTTTATTACTTTAAATCCTAGTTATTTTTCCTTCGTTTTTATTTCCGCAACGAATATGATTTGGTCGATTGTGGTAATGAATTGTGATTTGTTCAAAAACCAAATATTTGGAAGAAAAAAAAAAAAGAAGACGAAAAAATCGACTGAACGCCGTACACTTGGGGCCAATTACAAAATCTTTTACTGCTACTAAACACTGAAACTAAAATTTTAATGCTCAGAATAATATTTCCTGGAAAAACGTATTCATAAATTAACTCTAAAAAGAATGTTTTTGTCAATCAAGACGAATCAAGAACGTTTTTGAAAATGTCGAAAAACGAAACAGAGAACATAAAAACCAATCTTAATTTTTGAAATTTTTTTTTAAAGCTGAATCTACTGGCTTTCAATTACCAGAAAAAGCCAAGAAAAAAGAATTAAGTCATCAGAAATGCTATTAAAAATTACTGCGTTATAGTGAAAACGTCTAAAAAAAAGTTTTTTTTTTTTATTTAAAGAAAATAAAAAGATAGAAAAAACGTTCTAATTTTTAAAATGAAAAACTTATGACGAAAATTTCAATTTAAATTTTTCTCATTGCCATAATTTTAGAAGAAAAAAAATTGCTATAAAATAAATTTTATTAGTAACCTTATTTTTAAAAAAAATGCTGAGTCATAATAAAAATGCCTAAAAAAAGAAAAACAGAAAAAACAAATTTTTCTTAGTTCCTGAAACAAAATTTTAATACTGAAAATCACACTTTTCTATGTTACTGGTTATTTATATTACAGTACAAGGAAAGAGTGATAATAAATTAATAGTATGAAACGTTCTGTTAAAATGCTGGGTTATAATAAAAGCAGCAAAAAATGGAAAAAAATCCTTCTCAATTCTCAAAGTATCGAAAAAATGACAAAATTGTCTGATTATGATTTTTTTAAAAAAAAGTAATATTTATAAAAATTCAAAAAAACTTAGAAAAATACATTTCTAAGAAATATTCTGCCGAATATTTGACTGATCATTCAACCAACTGAATTTTTCACAGAATGACCAAATACTAGTTACATCCCTCCCTAATTTAAATGCAATGTTATTTCAACTTGAAAAATTCATAAAATGGCGGAAAACGTGAATTTTTAAACTGCTCACTGTTTGTAGTTTAGATTTCAATTTTTTGTTGCTTAAATAATCTTTTTCGATAAAAAAAGGAAAATGTTTACGATATAAAAAAATCTAATAATTAGTAAAATAATTATGTACATTACAAAATAAGCATTGAATTTTATTTTGAACTATCACAGTTTTGTTTTTATTTTAGGCTTTTGTTTAAAACCTATAAATTTTCTTCAATTAAAATATTTAATTTGAATTTATAATACTTAAATATGACTAAACTTTTTCCTACTTTCATTCTGTGGGCATTGCAGTTTTTTTTTATTTATTAGAATTTAATTATAAAATGAATTTTCGTATTGCATAATATGATAAAAAAAAAACCGTTTCTTTTCTTCAATGTTTATTTATTTTGATAAATCTATTGTTCATATAATAAAAATAGCAAGTTTCTTTAAAAAAAAAAAAATTATAAGTTTTTTTTATTTTTGAATGAATTCTAATAATGGAACACTACTAAGTTATTGATTTTACTAAGTTTATTGATAAAAAAAATGGAACGCTTATGTTTAAATAAACATTACTACATTTGTCATTAACATGTATAAATACATGTGCGGCCCTTCGTTAGCAAACCTGCTGTGCAAGTTGCCCTTCACTCAAAAAGGTTATGCACCCCTTTGCACAACCTTTTTGATATACATGAAGCAAAATATAAGCTTTTGCACATACATGAAGCAAAATATAAGATAAACGCTTTTAATAGTACAAAAAAAAAGGGATAATATTTTTCTTCTGCTTCAGATTTATTTGAATTAATTACATTAAAACACTACATTACATTTGTAAAACAGTATTTTCTTATTGTTGATTCTTTGGTTTAAGAATAAAAAGTGAAATCACTTAAAACCTTCTGAATTTTATAAAAGGGGGCAGATAGGTACAGATTTCTCTATTTCATTAAAAACATGGATATATTGGAGATCGAGATCTAGTCTGGACATTTTTTACAATTCGTTAAAAAACTCTTAATATGATTTTGAACTCTTGCAGTATTTTATTAATGATAATTTGGATGTTTACTCTGCACTCTGGTTTATATCTGGAATTACAAAATTTAATATTTCCATAATATTTTTTAGAAAAGGTTATTTTTGTCCATACTAGCCTCACTACATGGGACAATAGTGGAAAAATTTGGGAATTTATTAAATACTAATCTTTGATAACTCAGAAAACTAAAACTAAATTAATTTCAACTTAAAAACTTATAAAGGAATAAATACTGACATATTTCAATTGAAATGCTATTTTTTAATACAGTCCCCTTGTCATCTTTCATTTTTTTTAAAAAAAAAAGATTACAGATTGTTTTAATTTCAATAAATTATTTATCCTTTTAGGAATAGTATAATTTATTTTTTGAAAAAGTTAAATCATTAAGATTCCCAAATAATTTATATTTTATTGTATTTAGTACAAATTAGATTTGCATTAACTGTTCAGTTCCTTGAAATATTTCATTATTGAGCTTAGACATGGATTTAATAATTTGATCAGAAGCAACCACACAGTTTTTCAAACTACATCTTTCTTCTAATACAACATTTGAACAAATTATAGACCCTTGAATACTGCACTCTTTCCCAATGCTCACATTGTTCATAACAATAGAATTGACAGTTTTAGCTCTTTCATCAAATTTGCAATCATTGCCAATCATAGACTGTTTAACGGAAGCTTTGGCTGCCAATTCGCAGTCATCTCCAATGATGCTCTCGCCATCCACTTGCGATTTTTGAAACTCGTGCGATTTTAATTCTTGACCGGTAACCAAATTGAAATGTTTAATGAGTTTTTTATTGATTTCTGCATAAGCTACGAGATTATTTACCCTGCTACAGAAACAGTCTTTATCCACATATGAATAACACACAAGATTTTCCTCTGCATCTGGGTTTTTCGTGGATGCAATATGGCAAGAGGATAATTCAAAGGCTAAACTCTTCAGGTCAATCCAATCTTTATCTACGGTAGGGTCATATAAGTCGCTATTACGATTCTTCTTTTTAAGACTAAACTGTTTTTTTACTGCTGCAGGTAGAAACTCGCCTTTTAAAGTGGAAATGTGCTGATTCATCATAATAAAGTGTATCAAATCTTTCTGTATTATATATAAGTGAGCATCCATCAAATTGCTGTGCACTTTGATGTTTGGATACTGTTGAATGACTTTCATTCTCAGGGGCACATTTTCCTCAAAATCAGCTTCAGAGTTGATAAAGATCAGCCTGTTTGTTGGATCCAAGCCGATTATGTCCCTTTCAAATTTGCATTTTTTCTTGGAACCAGGCATCTCTACTTCTCTCAAAGATTTTGGAAATGGAACTAATAACATTGTGAGGGAAGAGCTCTGGACGCGATGCAGGTTTATCATATCTTGAAGGTTGAAATCGGAAACTAAATCGCAACTTAAGACAATAACATTTTGCTTAATCTTATCTTTTATAAAGCGAAGACTGTCTGCTGTCCCCCAGTCTTCACCTCTAGGCAGGGCAACTATGTCCAGGTTAAGTCCAGTTTTATCTTCAATTGCAGTTTGAATTTGAAGTTTTTCTGTCTCTCGGACTATAACTATTGCCTCAGCAAAGCCTGCTCTTTTCAGTATGTTTAATGAACACATAATTAGGGGGACATTACCAACAGGCAGGAGACATTTAGGAACAGAGGACATTAGTTCTCGCATTCTTGAGCCTGTCCCTGCAGCCATGATTACTGCTTGAAACTCCATCTATGATGAGATAAGAGACAATTTTTAATGAAAAAAATATTAGTTTTCTTTAAAGATCATAGTTTTTAAATTAAAAAAAAAAGCTTCTAAAATCAAATAATAAAAATTTTATGCTAAAAGCCAGGACAACAAACACTGAGAAGAAAAAAAAAGTTATTGAATCTCTCTGACTTTTATAACTGGTGGCATAAATCTCATTATTTTTGCAGTTACACCTTATTTTCATCTATAAAATATTTTACATAAGACTTATATGTGCTCTTAAAATCAAAAATAAGCTTTTTTTTTTCAAAAAAAAATTATTACAATTAATAAATTTTTTCGAAAAAACGACTTTTGGGTGTCTCAAACTAATTCATTTTCCCTGACTATTAGGATATAAATATTTTATTTAAATTCCCTGTTCTGTTGCCATCCTGAAAATATATATAATGAAATTTGGATACCCAATTTTCAAATTATGACTATTAATAGATAGATATTAAATACATTTAAAATAGTTAAACATAGATATGAATAACATATTGATTTAAAATTTTCACAGTAACAAAAATATTTTTTGATTGATTTAAAAATATAAAGTTCTTCACATTAAATTTAAAGAAAAACACAATTCTTTTATTACCACAATTATAAAGACTTTACTAATATACCTAAATATAAAAAAATTAGGCAAATTCTTTATTAGATCAGAAGAACATGCAAAATATCTAAAATCCAGTAGAGTTGACAGCTTTAATTTTTTCATTAATGGTTACATAAAACTGATTAGTCAAAAAATCATGTAGATTTGGCTTTTTTCTGCATTAAGAATATTTTGCTTGTTAGTTGCATTTGAACAATGAAAAATAAATCATACTTTTTAAAAAAATATGTTAAATAAAACAACCTTTTGGCATATCTTTATGAAGATAGTATATACTATCTACTATGTATGAATAAATCGAAACAATGTCAATAAAACAATAATTATTTCTTTTCAAACTCAGAGGTGCACAAGGCCCTAAAATGACAAGTAATAGGTAAGGTAATGCATAATTTGCCATATATTATGGTTGCAGTTAATTTTAAAACCTTGTTTTACAAACTTACTAGCAGGAACCCTGTTCAGAAAAAAAATTTAAATTTTTTCATTATTTTCTAAGAATTTTGAAAAATTAATATTTTTAAAAATACTACTAAAATCAAGTGTTCACATAATATCTATAAAAATTCTCCCTATTTAACAAAGGGGAAAACTGTTTCTTTAACTGGAAAAACAACATGTAAGTGGAATATATCTTAATAATATTATATAGGTAATGGATAATTTGCCATATATTATAATTTCAGTTCATTTTAAAAACCTCTTTTACGAGGTTACTTGCAGGAACCCTAAGCAGAAAAAAAGATTTAAATTTTTTTAAATTTCTTCTAAGAATTTTGAAAAATTAATAATATTAAAAATACAACTATAATCAAGTGTTCACATTTAAGAAAATGTGTTTAAAACTTTCTCACTAAATAACAAAGGGGAAAACTGTATCTTTAATGGTAAAAACAAAATGTAAAAAGGATATTTCTTTAACACACAAACTGAAATTAACAACTTAGTTCATATCTATGCAGTTTTTTTCCCTAAGTGTTTATAGAAGGATACCCCTTTGATCCCTATAAATGCACTTTTTTTTGTAAAAATAAGGTGCTATTCCTTAAAAATGCTACCTTTTTTACTTTATTTTCCAGGAAATGGTTGTACAATTCAGACTAACAGATAAACATGTCAAGCTGAACATAATGAATGAGTGGAAAGAGAGACCAGCCAAACAGAAGTCATTGGCGAGTCAATACTAAAAATTGCACATCATGCATTTTTACAATGGATCCAGGTAGATGAAAGTTTGAATCCTCTTTTTAAGGTTAATTGTTAATTTTCCTAAGAATTGGAGGATTTTTTCTTTTCCAGAGTGTCCACCTTGAGTTTGCCAAATTCTTTATTTGTTATTTTTTTAGCATCTTAATTTTTGTCACCATGATTTGGCAATCTTTTTGGTGCAGCACCAATATGTTTACATAATGATATCATTTAGACGTCCAGCTCCTTAAATGGAAGATATTTCTATATTGTGATCTGTTGCGGCAACATCTATCACCAAATGGATTTTTAAACTTGCAATTTTTTAAAAACAAAAACATGTAAAGGTTTGCACGGGAATGGCTACAGGTCGTTTATCCCCTTCTGTGATTTCTGTTTTGCCAATACTTGGCGAATATTCTGCTGCAGATTACAATATGGAAATCTTCCCGTTAAATGCCTTAGTAATGATTTGTTGTTTAAACTATCAGAGCTAAATTCGACAAGAAAAAATTGTAGTATTTTAAATCAGAGAGATTTCTGTATCGTATATTCGCAAAGTCTTGGCAAATTCCAGGCAGTGACCCACGAGAAACTTAAAAAAACCATCACAGAAAGGGACCAACTCGAAAGGTATAGCTCATAACCACCCCCCTTTAAAATCTATTTGGCACCTTGTCGATACGGAATATCCTCTTTAAATCAATACAAGAACCGCAATGGCAATAATAAAATCCGAAGAAATACTTAATATGACACAGGGTATACAACAGCAAAGTCAGAAAATGGGAGAAGTAATTACAATTCGATTGCATCATAATTTAATTCTTTTAAATTTAGACAATTACTTTGATCACTTCATTCAATTAGAGATAATGAGACATAGACGAGAATCACTGTGTAAAATATGTATTTTGCAGAAAATTATTTTTCAAATAAGATAAAAACGTCGCGACGTGGATCAAGTGTAGAATGATCAATGGCAATAAAACAAACTTTACTCCCAACCAAAATGAAAAAAAAACTAATTTTGTTGAACAAAATATTGATGAAATAAAAAAAATGCTTACATTCAATTTTGCCTATAAAATCAACTAAAGTTTTTTCAATTATATTGCTAAATCACAAACAGTGGATATTGTGATTTATTTATTTTTAATTTGTAGTACGCAATAAAGACTTTTGACTGCTTACTTCTTTGTCATTAAAACCTTTACATTATTATCAGTTTTCAAGAATAAAAATGAGGTTCAATAAAGTGGCGAGTTATATGCATCAACATTTTGCTTAAGTGTTTATTTCTTAGATTAAAAGATATGGTTTGGCAACATAATAAAGATCATATTTATTTACGCGCGAAATTATTTTTTTTAAGTAATAAATTTTCCTGTCGTGCTTTTTCCTCTTTATCTTCGTATCCTAATAGTTTTGATTTCTTCTTATGTCATAGTTTTTACTTGTAAACGCGTTTGTTAAAAAATCAATACTTCCTAGTCATAAATAATTTCGCTGTAAAATAAATTCGAATTAATTGTGACATTCGAATCTTCGAAAAGAACATTTCAAGACCAAAATATGACTTTCATCATAAACTGTTTGAAGCCTATTTTCCAAAAACCTTTGTAAAGATTTGTTTATTATCTCTGTATATTTCAAGGACTAACTCTGGATCTGAAAAATAGAATTTTAAGCATCAGAGATGGTGACTCTGATGTATCAGAATCAGAAGTTAAATCACCTCTACCAGCTCCTAAGTTTTTTACAACCCAGTCGTTCTCTTCAAAGAAGGTTGAGCTATTTTTATAATATTTCATAAAAAGCCATGTTGATTATTGTTGAATTTTGTTTGTTTCGTGAGTAAGATGACATGTTATTGTACTTATTCTGTATGTCAATTTATTTTCTTACAATATAGATGCTAGTTCTTTATACAATTTTAAGCCCAAAGTTTTACAATAGCAAAATTATTTTTGAATATATGAGGAAAAATATATATAAATGTACCAGTCATAAATGATTTTTATTTGCAGTGACAATTTTTGAAAATATTTTATTAATCTTTACCATATTTTTGTGTTGATTTTTTAATAAAATTTTTAATTTTCAGAAATTGTGTCTAAATTTTTACAAAATAGGTACCATTCAAAAAAATCTAGACAGACCCCCGCCATCTTTGATTTTTTTAAATTTCTCCTGTGATTTTTTAAAATTTTTTTTAATTCTCGCTGCCTGGAATTTGGCAAGACTTGGTGATTATTCTGTAACAGATCCTGATACAAAAATCACTTTAATTATTAAACAACATCATATAGCTTGTTTGTGTATATTTATCTTTAAAGTCCTTCTAGTTAAACCCCCTTTTTACCCAGATAGACAAAAATGTGCAAAAATTTTATAACAAAATTTAAATGGATGAAATTGAATGTTCAACAAGAATTTTTTTTTGATGCTTCAGCGAAAACAGTGAATCAATTTTCATATAATTTCAACATTTTAGGCTTCAAAAGTAGTTTGCAATCGTTCATAAAAGATAACAAAATTTTTTGAATCCATTCCCTCTCTTAGTCAATTGTCACTATGTGTCCTATTTCACTATGCCCACCATTCCTTTTTCACATGTAACGATAAATTACCCAAAAATATACTAACAGTTCAGAAACAAAGTAATTCTATTTTAGATTATATTGCATTTTGATGCAAAAATATGTAATCTGATGACTTGTTGAAATATTTTTTATTTTAACCAAAATGTATGTTGTTACTCTTCCTGTTATACCTTTTCACTAACTGTTAAATTTCAAGGATCATGTGTGATATCATTTCTGGTTAGCACCTTAAGAGTAGTTTACTAAATATTTATTTTTTAATGAGATAACATAGCTTTAATGATTTAAAAAACATGATGAATAATCATGTTTATTCCTTTTCTTCTGTGTGTTGTGTAAGACTGGGCAATAAATTGATGCATCGGAAAATATTGACGCTATGCAATCATTGCTGATCTGACGTTTGAATTGTAAATTTTTCGGATCATCAGAAATTGCGAGTTACTGAAATGTGTGCGATGTATCGATGACTACACGCATGATTCCCAATAGTACATCAGTGGTTTCAAGTGCGTGCGACGAGCATTTTCCTCCGTAAGTGTACAGTGATAGCCGTGGCAATGATTGTTATCTTTCTTCATTACATCATGACTCATTGTTTTGCCAACACGATGAATCCTAAAGTGATTGAGAATTGGAGTCTAGATTAATCTCTTAGTTATAAAAGTGTGTGTTTTCTTTTCATTGTGCAAATCCTGATAATTTTTTTACTATCAATCCAGCTGTTTATTGTTTTTTAACTGCTATTTTGCAGACATCCACATTTTTAAATATTGAGAAATAATTATCTTAGTTAGGAAATATAAAAAATGCAAAATTTATTTTTTAAAAAAAAGGCATTTTACTAAGTGCGACTTGTTAATATTTTATTTTTATTCCAGGATTCATTGAACTTTTTTATGCATTCCTTTCTCCTTTTTTTTTATTAAACATTGATAGAAATGAACTAAATTCAAGATGAAGAGAGGTGTAACTCGGATTGAGTTCATTTCAGATTGAGTTATTCAAGAGTATTATTTTATTATTTGAGTTATTCCAGAGCATAATTGCTTTAATTGATCAATCAATCAAGAAGAGCAAAAATTTGAATTTATTCAGTACGAAATGTAAAACATTACTGTTCCAAAACATCGCAATGCAACAAAAGCTCGCGATATTAGCATGACGATGCATTGCAATGCTAAAATTTTAACATTGCCCAGTCCTAGTGTTGTGAGATACATAGAAGTTAAATTTAGTGTTGCTGCCTTTCAAATAGTATGTATTTCATTTTCAGAAATGATAAATAAAGCAAGTTGGATATTAAGTTTTTATAAGTTTATCTTTCATTCATTTTTACAAGAAATTTATGTACTGAGAATTGTTTTGAATTTTAGGATAAATCTTGTCAGAGATTAAGGTTTGATCAACCACCTCCAACACCCAAAGGAAAAACAAATAGTAAAAGTTGCTCATCTGTAAGCCGTCTGTCTTCCACTAGAGATGGTTCTAGCTCTGCTCAAAGTGTTAGTTTTCGTGATTCAAAATCTTGTATCCTTTTTTTATTTGATTTCCCAGTAAAATATTTTAACACTAAAAGTTTCAGGTACGTATAGTGTTGAGCTCAGTATGCAATTTTCATGTAACAAAATGCTTAACTACATTTTTACCAATATTTAACACATTGAATGCCGCTCTAATTTTACAGGGCTTGTCCGTCTGGCCACACGGTAAATAACTACGAACTAAATTTGCAAATATTAGACAGATTTTGCTTGTTTTTGAAAAGGTTTAGCATGGCATATTTGAAAAAAGTGGTGAATTATGTGAACCTACCCATTGTTTAAAAATAGTGGTGGATAAAAATCTACTAAATTGAATTTATTAAACCAAGAATTACAATTAATAAACTACCACTTGAAAATATTTATTTGCTATCTGGAGCAAGTTGGCACCTCTGTGTATACAGGATGCGTAGCATTTTTAAAAAGTGCTTAAAGGTGCTTATTTTCGTTTTTTAAAAGCCCCTATGTCACTTTATGGGAAATTATCAAATGTTGATGGCAAAATTGTTGGGGAGGTAAGGTATCTCTTAAATTGTAATTGTTTCCACATAACCAGCAGGGTGTATAGCATTTTTATGCTTAGATGTGCTTATTTCCGTTTTTTAAGAGCCCTTAAATTAGCTTTTTTCATTGGGTGTTTTTGAAAAGTACTTAATTTTCCCTTTTTCAAAATGAGATTTTTCATTTACCATGTTGATTTTAGCTACAAATTATGCAAAAAAACACAGTTCACATTGTTCTATTCAACGTTTTCATAATTAATTCAACCCCAATATATTTCAGTGTATTGTCAGTCCGTAGCGTATGAAAACGCCATCTTTTTTACATGATTCAAATTTTCATGATTTTTGACAATTGTCAAAAACCAATGCCAAAAGTTTTTTTTTTTTTGTCATGACGGTTAAAACAAGATAAAACCCTCAATTTTCGAAAAATGTCCAACCTTGCCTAATTAAGATATTTTTTAAAAGTGCTTAAAAATATTTTTTTAGTGCTTGAAAAGTGCTTAAAAGGTGTTTATTTTTTGTTGATAAATTTGGCTACTCACCCTGGTGTATAAATAAAACTATTTTTGTGTGTTCTATATTGCATTAATTTTTTCAAACCATTTTAGTAACGATAATAATATAAAAAAATTGAAAATTACTCGAATTATGTGTTTCTAATAATCTTGGCTTCACCGGTGATCCCCATGGCATTCAACATGTTAATATTAGTTTACTATCCTACAATGATTTTTCCCAATCATCAAATATCATCTGTAACTTGAATTTTTATTTATTATTTTTTTAATTATAACTTGAAAATTTTTTGGTAATTTCAAATGGTGCCTGGTCAAAGCAAATTTTGGTTAATCTAATTCTTTATTAAAAGATATATTTTTAAGCTTTAACTTAATTGAGCATCAAAACATTAATGTTGTTGAATTGAGAAGATGAATGAGGCTAATGGCTGTAGGCATCCAATCTGGTCGAAGGGGATATCCATTTTGACGACTAAGGTCACTAAAACTTTCTTTAAACCTATCTTCTATCATTTTAATAAAATAAAAATTTTGACTGAAAAATATTTGAATCAAGCAAAATATTTTATGAAGAATAAAATATGTTTTTTAAGCGAATTCAATAATAATGAAGTTTCTGGATTTAAGATTTATTTTGTTTGAAATAATTCATTATTCTTTTATATAAAAATTACTTAAAAATATGCATATGATTTTTCTACTAGTTCACGAAATTCTGCAAATCTCAATATTGTTTGTGGACTACTGCGAATTAATATCTTAGATTCCAACATAATTTTTTTGGGAATTTGATTTATCTCAACTTAAAATTTCATTACTTACATAATTCTTGTTAACATAAGACATTTATATTGCCTTTACCAGTACCTTCTTTTCTTCTTAAGTTATTTCATGTTGGATAACGTTTTTTAAGCAGATTTGTTTGAACAAAGAAGACTGGGAAAAAAATCCATAATAGCTTTGGGATTAGAATTAATGAATTACTGAGACAAACAAAAGAATTAAAATTCATAACTTAAAAAGTAATTCCAAAATAGCAATCGTTTAAAAAAACATTTCTCATAATTTTTTTTGCATCATTTTATAAAATTTTAATTTCAATATCAAATTCCGATTTATAATAGTAGAATTATTTAATTAATATTATATATTTGTCCCCTTCTTTATTTGGCTACAACTACAAATTTTATTGCTCTCAATACCATCGTAAATTTACATTTTAATCTTTTTCTTTTCTTTTGCTGTTAATGCAAATTTTTTAAAATACCGATATTATGAAGCTCAAACCTCAATTTGTGTATTAGTTAATTCTGATAGGATGATGTAATTTTTTTGCTTTCGATTTACTCTTTATTGCTGCTAATAGCCACATGGTTTTTTAAATGCCGATATTTTCAAAAAATTTTATAAAGGAAGAATAAATTCTAATTGCATATTTATTTGTGTACTTGCTTTTTGTGACGCTCAATCAATGCTAATTCCATGCGGCTTTTCGATCTTTTTTTTTTTTTTTTTGTGTGTGTGTGTTTGTGCAATTATTGCTGTTGGTTTTCGCATTTTTTTTAAAATCGCAATGTTACTGTAATTTGGGAAATTCAAATTTCACACTTGAATATTCATTATTTCTGTTTAAATTATGCATTTACTATTTTGAAATAGACATATTTTTTTATTAAATTATACCTGTTGTTTTCACTTAATATCTAGTAGCTCTTTCTTCCAAATATGATTCCAGCAATAAGAAATTATTGTACCTAAATCAGTGTTTTGATGTGATTTGCAAGCTGGGCTCTGGTTCTTTTGGAGATGTGAGCAATTTGTTTTTATGAGTATTTGCTTTTATGAAAAATGAAATATTTTACAGTAATTTTAAATACTTTTTGTTAGGATAGCCTGGTTGGTAGGGCACTGGGTCCCTGTCCCAGAGGTTGTGGGTTCGATCCCTGCCGTCCGAAGACTCCCCGTGTAGTAAATGGTGACAGATGCATGTTTAATTTGTTGAGTCTCAAAGTCCTCCAAGTTTCCATAACAAATGATACCTCTGGGGGTACTGATTCAAGAGATTCCTTGTCTTCTGAATTGGTTCGAAATTGCAAGGCTACGGAGTTGAACATTAGTAGTCGTAAACCCTAAATCGCGACGACGGTTATAAAATAAAATACATTTTTAATACAAAATTAAGATCTACAGTAGTTACTGTGTGAATCTGTTATGTTAAAAATTAGGCACTTAGATATGAAATTCTTGTGTTAAAATTAAGTTTTTACTCATTCTAGCTATGCTCTAAACCAAACTAAGCATTTTATAAAAAAATTTACTATTTAGTCACTTTCTACAGTAGACACTGGTAATTTTTTACTCCATTTTAAATTTTTATTTTTATAAAAAATTCAAAATATTGAGACATCTAATTTTTTTCCTCATTTAAATTGTATTATTAAATTAAAAATAAATAGTATTTAAACAGGTTCATTGTAAGAAAAGAAAAAGTTTATAAAATTTTGCTTCATAATTTATGCCAAATCTTTAAAATCTGATATAATTTTTAATAGGTGTTCAAAGTTAAATCTAAAGATGATGGTAAGTATTATGCAGTGAAACGAGCCAAAGAAAAATTTGCTGGAAAAGCCGATAGGTATGCAAAATTACTTTAACATGTTATTAGTTTATTTTAGTTTTCTACAATACTGCTTGATAATTATTTGTCATTTTTTATACAAATTGATTTTTTTTTTTTTTTTATTCTGCGTTATTGTCTCTGTGGTTTTGCTAATCATCACAACTTTCATTTTAGGAGTCGTAAGTTACAAGAAGTCCAGAAACATGAGAAGCTTCCTTATCATCCAAATTGTGTAAAATTTTATAGTGCTTGGGAAGAAAAGCAAATCTTGTACATACAAACAGAACTATGCAGTTCTAGGTACAAACTTATTATTGTAAATGTTTTTTCCGCATAAATTTACTCTGAATTTCCCGTTTTTGAAGTTGAAAAAACAAAAAGACTTATCTATTTTAAATTTTAATTATTGTTAGCACACTTAAAACTTTAAAGGGACTATCTTATAGTTCATATTAAAAAGTCCAAATTTTATGTATTTTTTGTTTGGGTCCTTTACTTACCTCTATAATATCTTAATGATGAGTATTGCAAGTATCGGGACATTTAATTATTAACTTTAAAGTGTAATTGTGACATTTCACGCCAGATCAAGCTTTTTTGACTAGCTCATTCTTTAATTTTGATGAAATTTGGTGTGCATATAATAACATAAGTGATGAAGAAATTTTATTTTGAAAATTGTTTAAATTATTGACATGTTAAGCATTAAAATTAGGGCATAGCAAAAACAAATTAGAATCAGACAGAAGATTAGTTTTCACATGGCATGAGTACAAATTTAATATTCAAACTGATTTGCTAATTGGTAAATTTGTCAAATGCTTTTCTCATGACAAGTTGTATAAAATTACAACTTGGTTTTAAAAATAAAAAAATATTATTTTCATGCAATTAGATTTTTGTCATTTTTTTTTCTAAGTGTTATAGTTACAAACTAGAACCAAATACTATTATAATTTGTTAAATATTGTTTTCCTTACTAAATACCTAAACAATTATCAAATTTACTTATCCAGTGTTTTATAGATTTTGATTATTTGTAGCTTTCTTTTGCAAAGGTTTTATTCTGAGTTAAATCACATCCAACAAAACCACAATCACTGTTTAAAACTAATTTTTCCTCAGAATGAAAATGTATTTTTCATTTTTTCTCCATTTTTTTTCTTTCCTGTTTCAATTTTGATATGTCTTTTTTTTTATTATCGCTTAGACATAAAATTTTATATAAGTTTGTACAATATGAAAAATAAAGTTTAAAATTAATATTAAGTTGCAATGAAGATATATGATTAATTTTGATTAGATTAAATATTTCATTTGATTTATTGTGTTTTTCCCAGATTCAACTAATAATTATTTTAATTTAATCTGTTTTGCAGCTTGAGTCAGTATGCTGAAACAAATCATGATATTCCAGAAAAAACTATTTGGAAGTACCTAATTGACCTATTACAGGTAATGGTTAAATTGATATTGTAACTTATCAATAGTAAAGAATTATTTTAAAAATATCAATTTTAAATGCTGATAAATTAACGTTAATGTTAGAAGAAATTGCTTGTAGATTGCAGTTGATGATACAATGTGCATTTTAGAATATGAAATTGTTATTGATTATTATGAGTACAATTGGGTGATATATTTGCTAAATGTCAATGTAATGCAAACATTGTCAAACGATCATAGTATCTTCTGTTTCTTGCAAAGCTCTGACTTAAAGCTGCTCAGAACTCTGGCTTATAGCCTCTAATGTAAGATGCTTGCGATGTAACGGTATAACAATTTAGTGTGCAGGGATGCTTGCCTATGCTAACACTGTTACTGAACTGACGAAGATAATGTTGATTCCGTCTAACTACAAAGATAATGTTGATTACGTCTAACTATGAAGACAATATGGATTTCGTTTAGTTACAAAGACGTTTATTTCTTGATGTTGAATAGCTTGGAGCGAATATCAAAAATCCCAGTTTTGTGCATGGATTAGCGTCTTAATGTAGAGCACAAATGTGTCATAAAATTGAGCTGGTCTAGTTATTTGCAGAAAATACATGAGCAGGACTTACTGTAAAATTTTTTAACAGTAGCAATCAAATAATTGTGCTGAAATATACTTAAAAAACAAAAATTCAAAACTTAAAATCCGTTTTTTTTTTATTTAGCTACTTAATTTATTATTTTTTTTAACTATAATCAATCACTCTATCTTAGACATCAAAGTATATGCAGGAAAAAAATATACATATTTAAACATAGGAGATCATAGACACTAGAAATGAAACAGGCTCATTTACTGAAAAAGTTTCCTGGTTCCGACAGGCTCAGACTTGTAAGGAAATTTTCATGAAATTTTAACTACTTTTAAACAAAGATTTGGTACAGTACAGTTACGAAGCATAAAAAGTAAAATTTATCAATTGATAGGGATAAAAGGGCTTTTAATGACTAATTTTCTTGTTGAGGCAACAAAGGCATAACAGCTTCTTAAAATGGTAAAAACTCCGATGACTACTTTGAACATCTTCCCACGAAATTTGCAAAAACGCATGTAGACAATTTACATCTTTATACAATGAATAATTGATGCATAAATCTTCAGAGCTTAAAATTAATAGTGGTCTATTGGTCCAGGATAACTTAAATTAAACTCAAACCCCATAAAATTATTAGTGGATCTCAAGACAAGTAGCCAATGTAAAAGGTTGGTGTGCTGTTTTGGTTTCGCGATTGAGACATGTAAACAGACCATTGGAAATGTGTATTGACTTGTAATATCTTTTAGTACCTGGTTATTTAAACTAGGTAGTGGCTTATTTTCTACTGCTTAGTGTGTGTGTTATTGATCATTTATATATATATGGAAATTAACTATAGATGTAGGCTACTGTAATAGAAAAAGGCAAAGAATTCTCAGAATAAATTGTAATTGCAAATACCCATTTAATTTTATTATTTTTTACTCTCTTTAGGCTGTTAAACATTTGCATGATCATAATCTAGTTCATTTAGACATCAAACCAGAAAATATTTTTATATCTGAAAACAACATTTGTAAACTAGGTGATTTCGGGCTTGTTCTTGACCTCTCTGTTAAGGTAAATTATGTATTTCTTTAAAAATTGTTGTTTATCTTGATATATAATGCTTGAATCTTCAGATTTTTATCGTTAATGTTTTCAGTCTGATGCCACTAATGCAATCGAAGGAGACCCAAGATACATTGCTCCTGAGTTAATGGATGGTATTTTTACAAAAGCAGCTGACATTTTCAGGTCTGAATTTTTTTAAAATTCGCTTTTTATTACTTACAAATTGTGTTTTTTCCCAAATTCGTAACTTTTAAAAAAAAATTCAACTTTTGTTTTATTTAAAAAAAATAATAAATTAATGTATATTTAATTTTATAAGTAATTTTTTAACAAAATAAAAAATTTTAGTCTAAAAAACTTATTCCTATAATTAATTATATGGTGGTTTTTTCTATGTAGTGATAATTAGTTTGTGTTATTCAAAGTCGAAAATTTTCAAAAAATTTTACATTATAAACTTTGATAACTTTTTTGATTGTGTTTGTGTTTCTAGATTCCCTTGTATTTGACTTATGTGCGGTAAAAAATTCAGCTTGTGATTGTCTGTATAAATGAACGTTTTATATTTCAATACAGTGAAACCTTGCATTACGAACCATCCTGCAAAATTGAAGCCTCTCTTACAGGCATATATATATTTTTTTAAAATTCCTCTTGAATCTTCTCTGAATTAACCATTCTGCACCCTCTCCGCAAACCGGACACTCCCATAACAACGTGGACAGTTGTTCAGTCCCCAAAAAGTTATTTTTAATCTCTTGAAACTAAGCTACAGTTTTTCTAGATGTGAAAAAAGAGAAGGAAAAAAAAAGAAATAAAGGGAAAAAAAACTTTCTGGAAAAATCTATCTTTTTTGCCATTTTCAGAACATGTAAAATTTTTGCCTTATCCATGTCTAAAAATGTTGTTAGTTTATTTCACCACTAAATCAATCATTTTTCTGTCACCTTTTCTCTTTGCAAAGAAAAGAAATAAAATGTTGCTGCTCGTGTGAAATATTTTCTCTTTTGATCTTTTCATCTGGATGACTCAGGTTATGAGACCTAACAAGTAAGTTGAGATAAAGCATTAAATATTCTCAATTCTCCTTCCCAATGAAAATTCCTTTCTTTTCCTAATCAGTTTGACTCCTGCACTTAACACACAACTAGGTTTTAAAGAAAGAAAAAGAACAGTAATTGAGTAATCAGGCTTTTCATATAAACAAACATTTATTTAGACTCTTTCAAATAATGATTCTGAATACAACTCCATAGGAACTGGTACCTTACAAATAAGTATTGCCATAATTTTTTTATATGCATCACAGAAGCTTCAAAGATGTACTGCCATGTTTTCTATCTTTGCAGATGTCATAGTTCAAACAAATTCTGATGATCCTATTTCCAAATTAACAAGTTTGATTAACTTGACTGGAAAAAGTGTTACCAAGGGTGATGGTTTTTTAAACATTGACGAAATTTTTGCAAATAATGATTGCAATAATCCTATTTTCAAATTAACAAGTTTGATTAACTTGACTGGAAAAAGTGTTACCAAGGGTGATGGTTTTTTAAACATTGACGAAATTTTTGCAAATAATGATTGCAATAATCCTATTTTCAAATTAACAAATTTTATTAACTTGACTGGATAAAGTATTACCAAGGGTGATAATTTTCTAAGCATTGATGAAATTGTTGCAAATAATGATTGCAATAATCGCAAATAATGATGTTGAGAGAGTAATAATGAAGAAAATGATAACTTTCTGAAAAAGAACCAAAAGTACGAACTTTGTGTAATACGCACACTTGTATTGAGGAAATGAGAAATTTTTATCTATCCAAGAATGATGAAATTGATGTTAATATGCTAAATTAAATAAAAATGTACCTAGATGATATGGTAAGTTGCGCCTGTTTAAAACAAACTTATTATCATGTCTTTCTTTTCAAATGGGTAAACACAGTCAAAATAAAACAAAGTCTTATTAAAATTTCTAATTTCCTTAATATTCTAATTTAGAATTTTGTAAGTTTAAATAAATATCAAATAGTTGTTAGAGATTATTTTCTTCATCATTGCATTTATTCTAAAAACATCTATATGATTGCAGTTTTGTATATTTTCATATCATTGCAATTGTTCTATATTGCAATCATACTAAAAACTATATGGAGTTATACCTCATATTATACCTCATTATTAGTGTACCCTTCATGTAAACGAACAATTTTTTTAGCCCCCAAAAGTGTGTGCTTAACCAAGGTTTACTGTATTAGTTTTTTTTTATTTTTAACTATTATTATTATTTTAAGATATCTTGTTAACTTTTTATTGTTCTAGTTCTTAAGTGATTTAAAGTCTGTCACTGATTCTTAAAAACTGTCAATTTCCTGTTTTGTTTTAAAAATGTAAACAAATAAAAAATTGTAAAAATTTTTTTTCCTCAAAAAAGTGCCTGGATAAAAACTTTGAATTTCTCAAATTCATTCATCATTCCTATGTTTTAACTTTTTTTTTTTTCTTTCCAAGAAAAAAGAGAAATTTTTTGGTGAAATTTTTTATTTTTAATACATTTTACAGTCTTGGGATAACAATATTAGAGCTAGCATCTGATCTAGACTTACCTAGAGGTGAAGAATTATGGCATCGCTTAAGGAATCTTGAAATTCCCCAAGAATTTCTTGAAGGTAAATATTTGAAAAATTATAATTAAATTTTGAAATTATTGTTCATTATCAATTACTATATAATTTATTTATTTCCAAGCTTATTTTGAAATAAATAAATTGTATAGTAGTATAATTAATAATATAGTTTACAGGGTTGGAGTTTTTGCCGGCAAAAAGGGGTTTTTGCCAGGACAGTGGCAAAAACCTGGTAAAAACCGGCAAAAACTGGTAAAAACCGGCAAAAACCAAATTATCTAAATTGCTGATTAAATATTATTACAAAATACTTGAAACAAATTTAAATCAATCATAAGGAATAATAATTTTGATACATTACATGAAAAAATTATTTTTAACATATTAATAATTAATATAAGGGTAATAATTTTTAAAAGATTGAAAGTTTTTGATCTCTTTTCATTTTAGAATCCTAAAATAAATGTTTTTTTACAAATAAATAAATATTATTATTTG